CGTTCCACACAGTGGAGGCAGCCATTGAGTGTCTGTTGTCACAGGCACGTGGGTCCGTCCTGATGCCCGCAGGCTGAGGACAACCCTGACTGCAGCCCAGAACATAATCCTAAATTTACATGAAACATTTTTTTAAAGATTTCTTTGCAAGCTTTAAAAACTTCAAGCATGAACTTTACAGATGACAATGTCGTGTCACAATGTCAAAAGTACCTGCTAGAGGCTAGGAAGCATGGAAGGCTGATAGGTAGGTCCCATGGTGATGGGCACGTCTTGCGTACAAGGTGGGCCATAGTGCCTGCCTCAGATTGCCCCGGGGAAGTGGGTTAGAGCACTTGGCATGCGTGTCTGATGCGTGTGAGTGCAGAGGGGGCCCAGGAGCCTGCAGAAAAGACAAGCTTGTGTCGTGATTGGAGGCCGGCCTTGAGCACCCTATGAAGCCAAGGATGATATTAAATCCCCGATCTTCCTGTCTCCATTTCCCAAGGGCCAGGGCTACAGGCATGTACCATACTACACCCAGTTTTATATGATGCTGGGGGCCAGCCTTAAGGCTTACCCGGGACTCCATGAATGTTAGACAGGCACTCTGCTAACCGAGCTACACTTCCCTCCCTGTTTGGTTTTAAGAGGTTAAAGGATACTGGGCACCAGGGCTTTTAATACAGAGGAACAGGAAGTAGAACTTGCATACCAAGGCCACAGACTGAGAACCAAGGCAAGGCAAGAGAGGAAAAAAATAGTTACTGAAAATCCCAATGGGAGATGGACCGCCTGGCTAGGCCCTAAGGAACCGGCACTGTGTAGGGTGTTTTCCAAGTTGAATCATTGCAGGGGAGGGGGGGGGCTCAGGATTTTAATGTGGAAATGAGGGGATGACCCAGGGTGAGGAGCAGCTTCTAAGAGCTAGGCCAGGTCCCTTTGTTCAATACTGTCCCTAGGACCCAGCCTTTGGGTAGCGTCAGTTAAGTTCTGGCTTGTGTTTGGTTTTGGTGAACAAAGGGACACAGCCCGGGATGGTATCACACATGAGCACTCTCCTCGATGTCACACAACCCAACACGAGAGAGCACTCCTGCTGCGGTCACAAGCATGGTTAAAGCATCTGTGAGGTCACGTGACACCTGTCTCTCCACACACACGCTGTAGCTGTCGAGGGTCAGACCAGCCTCTTTCTGTTTGAAAACTGCTTTCTTCTTCTTCACAAGGGACATGGTTCTGTTAAATTCGTGGGCTCTCAGGAGCGGGACTTCCTGAAGTACAGTCCTCAAAGGGAAACACCCACTGGTACCTGGAAACCTGAGTCACCCACATGAAGGAGCAGACTCCTCACAAGCCGGGAGGAGAGGGTCTAGCCTCACCTCCCACCTGTCTCCACAGCCCAGGCTTGTGGTGACTCCTTGGGCTACTGTTGCGTTCCACCTGACCCCTACCTTTCCCTCAGAGTGTGCTTTAGCGACTGCTGGTGCAATCTTCCGAGCTCTGGCTGGGGAGGTGGCTCTGTCAGAAAAGCACTTGCCTTGCAAACACAAAGACCTGAGTTCAATCCCCAGTGCCCTCGTGGAAATAGCTGGGGTGGCGGCACCCACTTGTGAACCTTGCCTGCTGCCTCTCCAGCTGAGCAGAAGGGGCAAGCTCCAAGCAGGTGAGAGACCTTGTCTCCACAAACAAACAGACACCAGGCAGGCTGGCTCACTCACTGGGTAAAGGCGCTAACCACCAAGTTTGACGAATTTGGGTTCAATCCCCAGGACTCACATAGTGGAAGGAGAGAACTGACTCCAGTAAGTTGAACTATAAGTTCCCATTACATGCTGTGGCAAGCGTATGCCCCAGACAAATGTAGGCAACTTGGGTTTTTGTTTGTTTGCTTTGTTTTGAGAAGGATCTCACTATATAGCCCCAGCTGGCCTAGAATTTGCTGTGTAAATCAGGCTGGGTGGCCTCAGGCCCTCAGGGTCGACCTGAGACTGCCTCCCCAGTGCTAGATTAATTGCATGCTCCACCATGCTCTGTTGAAATGTTGCCACAAAACAGTAAAACAAAATAAAGTGGACAACTTGAGCTTGACCTCTGACCTCTCTATGTATATGTACACATGTCCACACACACACACACACACACACACACACACACACACACACACACACACTAGGAGACACTAGGAGGTGGTGGTGCACGCCTTTAATCCCAGCACTCAGGAGGCAGAGGCATGGGGATCTCTGAGTTCAAAGCCAGCCTGGTCTACATAGTTAGATCCAGGCCAGCCAGGCCTACACAGAGAAACTCTGTCTTGAGAAACCAAATCGAACCAAACCAGCAACAAAAACAAAAAGAAAGAAAGCAATGTCAAACCCTGGTTCTGTCCATGGTGGTCCTAGGCTGATGGGCCCAGATCAAACTCATCAATGGTTTGATTGTGTTTTGAATTAAGTCTATGCCCAGTGTGGTCACCCCCGCCCCTTTAGTGTCATCATTCCTCTCCACCCTTCCGCCAGCCTCTTCCAAGCTCTTCCTTACACAGCCAGCCCCTCAGGACTTCAGTCCCATTTTATGCAAACGGAAAACTTTGTGGGTCACATGTGACTGCGGGAGCACCTGCAGTTCACCCAGGGACTTTCCTGTGTGTGCCATTTCCAAAATGTCCCCTTTCTTGGGAAACTGTTACATTCCAGATACAATCAGTTAAGGAACAAGCCTGAGCGCTGAGGTTTCCAAAGGCTTACAGAGGCAGAAGGAAGTGATTGCAAGCGCCTATCAGTAGGAAATCTGTCCCTCTACACTTGAAATACCAAAGTGGCCCTTCTCAGAATGGAAGTGAGTTCTGTATGTGGTTTCCACATTAAATAAAGGAAGTTGGAATGAAAAGTAAAACAAAAACTCAGAAGAGTGGTTTCCTTGGCGAAGCCAAGGCATGGGGGCTTCTGGGAGCTGTTTTTGTTTTGTTCTTGTGGGATACTAGCTGCTGAGCTGTGCCCCTTGTCCTGAAGGTGAGAAAACCTCAACAGAAAGAAGAGCTCCAGGGCCAGCGAGATGGCTCAGTGGGGTAGGGTGCTTGCTGCCAAGTCTGAAGACCTGAGTTCAGTCCTTAGGACTCCCTGGGTTAAAACGAGAGAACCAGCTTCCACAAGCAGTCCTCTGACCTCCACAAACATAAATAAAATGCAACAGGATGAGAAAGCTTTCCTAGATAATTGAAGATACATGCTTAAAAAGGAAAGAATAGCTTCAGCCAGACTCACACACACAGAGAGAGGGCCGCCCAGAGACCCTGAAGATTAAGGTCCTGCTTTTGGAGTAAGGTGGACAGACGGACACAGACAGACATGAAAACACCAATCCCTGCCCCGGGCTCACATTGGGCTCGCCAGGATGGGTAGTTTGACCTTCCTGGAATCAATATCCTCTTGTGTAGAATGGAGGGCTATTCCAACCCAGAAGCCCTCAGGGGCCTCTGTTAGACAGACTACGGATTCTGACCCCTAGATGAGACTCATGACGACATGAGAAGAATCCTGTGCTCCAGCCATCTCGGTTTCTCATGCCGGGCCACCCTGAATCCTGGGAGACTGGCGCCCGTGTAAAGGAGCCCACGAAAGGGCTTGCACTAGCTGTGGCTTGCACTTACAAGCTGCAAAGGAAACAGCTCAAGGGGCCGGGTTGGGACTTGCCTAATTCTATCTGTGAGTCTCCGTGATTGGAGCACATTTTCCAGGCGGCCTCAGACTCGGGGATGAATGGCAGATGCCTGAGTGCAAAGGACATCATGCTGCCTTCCTGCGGACCCGGGGTGTTCGCAACTGATTGCTGGCTCTCTTTGGAGTGTCTGCCTCTGGCCTTTTGGGGTAGAGGGAATTATTTAGAATCTCCTAAGGGTACAGCTAGGGTACAGTTAGTGTCATCAGTCAGATGCTTCCTTAACACAGACAAAGGGACAGAGGGCACTGGAGGGCTCCTAATGCCCTGAATTGACAGTAGCTGCTTCTGAAGTCAAAGGAGCCAGGATACCAAACTCTTAAGAAGAGGAAGAGAGGGAAGAGGAGGAGAGAGGAAGGAGGAAGAGAGGGGGAGGAGGAGGAGGAGGAGGAGGAGGAGGAGGAGGAGGAGGAGGAGGAGGAGGAAGTCAGAATGCAGTTAGGACAGACAAAGAGGGAACCTAGAAAAGAAAGGCAGGGGCATCCCCAGGTGTTTTCTGTGGTCCCTCGCAGAACCTGCTCAGGGCAGAGGACCCGAATTCCCCTTCAGTTGCTGTGGTTTCTCTTGGTCACCAAGGGAGGTGGGGGGCTTCCGGAAGGATGCAAACTGCTCACAGGCCTCGAGGGCAGCCAGCCCATACTGCACACACAGCACCCGTCCTGAGTTAAGTAGCAATGGTGAACTCAAGCTTCCCTTCACATTGTGTAGGTTTCCAGGTGGACAGGGGAGTCTGGCCCTGTGCTGGGCGCTGGGGGGGCTCGGCATCAGTGGACATCACATCTGCTTTGTTTTCAAGGAGAGTCAGACAGGCTTTCACTTCGGTTTTTTGTTTTGTTTTGTTTTTTCATTTTAGTGGTTTTTGGAAGGAAATTCAAATTGGCTAGCATGACTTCTTTCCCACATTTAATTTATAATATGTGCACATTTGTGTGTCCCAGGGTACTTGTGGAGGTTAGAGGGCAACAAACACAGTGTGTCAGGCTTCTTTTTAGTAGGAGCCTTTACGTGATAAGCCGTGCCCCTGCCCCTCGGGGCTTATTCTGAGAGAGACACCACCAAAGCCCCTCCTGAGTCAGGCATTCAGATAGCAGTTGGGTGCTGGGTGGAGGCTGGGACAATTGTTCCAGAAAAGAGTGGTAGGGCCCACCTTGTGCACAGTGGCTGGAGGCTCAGACTGCATCCCCTTGGTGTCTGCAGCCAGCACCTGTGTGACAACTGTCTGTGGTGCCTGGCAGCTTAGAGAGTTAGGGAATCTGAAGTATTCAAGACTTTGAAGGGATTACTGTCCTATTCTGAGAAGTGTTAGAAGCTGTGGTGGAGGGAGGCTACATGATGTGTGTTCTCAGGTATACACACACATGCACACACATACACATATACACACATATACAAACACACACACACACACACAAACACACACACAAACACAAACACACACACCAGAGGCAGTGGTCCTTCTCTGTTAATTTTCCTAAGACAACTGTTGGTCCATGGCCTGGGGAGATGTCTCCTTTAAGTGGAATGCCAAGTGTCAGATGTAAAAAGATGCCTATGGTCATTGAATACATTGAATACCAGTGGGGTTTTGTTTGTTTGTCTGGTGTTTGTGAGACAGAGCTACGTGGAGCTAAAGCTGATCTCAAACTCACTCTACAGCTGAGGCTGGCCCAGAACTCCCGGTCCAACTGCCTCCATCTCCTGAGTGCTGGTATTACAGGGGTGCTCCCCCAGCCTGGTTTATGCCGTGGCTGGGATAGACCCCAGGGCTTCAAGAACGCTAGATAAGTTCTGTGCCAACCGAGCTTCAGCTCCAGGCGGCCTGCACTGTAGTTTCTAAAGCCCCAGGAAGGCCAGGGTTGTGGTGCGAACACCACACCATTGTTCCCCTTTCTCGTCTTAATTCCTCTCCTTACTTAAGGCCCCAGCGTTGTGACCACAGCTCCCGAGCTCCTTCCCCCTGCTTGTAGAGTTCCCAGGTGCCACACGTGTCCCACAGGACACCCATCAGCCCTGCTCTGATAGTTCATGAGATATTGATGGAGCGCCTGTCCCATGCGAGGTGCTGGGGACATGGGACAGAATCAAATAAAGGCCCCTGCTCATTACCTTGCTTAATTTTCCCTTCCTCACGTCTGCTTCCTGAGGAGAACGACCTGTGTGGGTTCTTCTAGATCTTTCCAGCCTATAAGTGCACCTGCATGCACAAACATATAGGTGCACATGCGTGTACACCCATACACACACACCTGCATACAGGAATACACACATGTGCACCTGCACACACAAACACACATACATGTGTACATGCGTACACACACACACACCCCTGCATACAGGAATACACATGTGCACCTGCATACACAAACACACATACATGTGTACATGCGTACGTATACACACACACACACATTTTTGGTTATTTTTGTTTGTTTTTTGCCTAGTCTTTTTTTTTCAAGACAGGGTTTCTCTGTATTGTTTGGAGGCTGTCCTATAGAACTTGCCCTGTAGACCAGGCTAGCCTCGGACTCACAGAGATCCACCTGCCTCTGCCTCCCGAGTGCTGGGATTAAAGGCGTGTGCCACCAACGCCCAGCTTTTTGCCTAGTTTTTAAAGGATTCTGTCTTCCTTTTTAGAACAAGTGCGCAGAAACACTTCATTTCTTGTCCTCTGTGGTTGTTTGCCACGGTGACAGGGACAAAAGGCAGTTTTCTTGGACGGGGATGGGGTGGGGTGGGAATGGACCAGCATATGAGTGCACATCAAGCCTTCGGACCTGAGCTTTCTCCCTGGAGCTGCCTGTGGAGGGAGGGAGAGTACCAACCCCTGGAAGTGTCCTCTGATTTGCACACGTGTGCAGTGGCCCAGGCATGCTCTACTCCCAAATAGATAAGAACTTGCAAAAATGTCGTAACTGACCTTCTCCCATGCAAACCCTTGGGGGACCTGTGGGCTTTCCCTAGCTCCGGTGTGACCCCACCCACCATCTTTATCTGTCTTCTTGTATGTTTATGCAACAATTCTAGAAGTCAATTGTGGAGGCTGATGCGTGTCTTGAATGCGATGAGTAACGCTTTGCCTTTGGCACGGCGTGAAATGAACCCATCACTCATCTCTCTAGTCCCTAGTGGTCTCTGTGGTGTGTGGTAGCCCACAGGCTCCCGAACACACTTCAGTGGGCCTTCAGCTGACGGAACGGGGTGGCCAGTCTTGGTGAGCTGGGCAGGCCCGGGGATGCTGAGTGTGAATGAAATGGGATGAGGCCTTAGTCACGCTCAGCAGGGCTCTGAGGTCCTGTTTTGCACACTTGATCTGATAGATGCCCATGAGTGGGGTGTACCGAAGCCCCTGGGTGTCCTGTGCCCTCTGTGTACTATGCTCACCTGCTTGGGGAAGCTCAGAGTCTTTTCACAGATGATCCTGGCACCGGAAGGTGAGGCAGGCAATTCGTAGACTTGGGCAGTAGCTGGCAGTGGTCCCTCCACCCAGCTCTTCATCGGCTCGTACACAGGACCCGGGGGCGGTGGGCAGGACACACTGGGCACTTGGTAGAGAGCCTCTGGGCCGGTGAGGTCTGTGTCCAGGCCTCTCAGGAGCTGAGGGCCGGGTCTGTCTGCAGGGGTCTCTTTGAGGAGTTGGAGGCGGTTGGCGGGAGCCAGGCCTTGCCTCCCGTGGAGCAGACAATTCCACCAGCCCTCACTCTCGGGCACATTCTGCTCCACGATGGTCAGGATGTCCCCTCTGAAGAAGGCCAGCTCGTCGGCGCAGTCAGGACGGTTGTCATAAAGTGCCCTAGCCAACAGGGTCTGGGGGAGAGAAGGCGCTGTTACCGTCATCGCCATGGCATCCCTGGGCCAGGCCACCAAGAAACCACAGCACCAACAAAGCTCCAGGCTGTTTTCACAGCCTCCCCAGAGGCTGCGTCCCTGCTCTTTCCTGATTTATCTTTCCCATCCTCGGGGGTTCTGGTGATGCCACATGCGCTGGGATGCTTTGCCTGTACCCAAGGTGAGTAGCCCCAATGAGCCCTTTCTCAAAATTGTGGAGGCCCATGCCCCCTCTAGTTAAGAGCACATTGCATTTTGACTCACAGTTGGGCCAGCATCCTATGCATACCACTTGGCTTGAAATCCTTAGCTGTGGGCCCTTGATGGTATTCACTGCCCTCTTTGAGCCTCAGTTTCCTCATGGATGAAATGAGAACAGCAGTGATGCCTACCGACGGGATTACTACTAGAATTAAGTGTTCGTGCATGCGTATGCATGTGTACACATGCATACGATAAATACAATCTGTTTACCTAGTGCTCTGTCCCCAGCATCAGCCAGGTATATGGGGAGAAACTCAAGGGATGTTGGTGAGCTGGGCTTGGGTGGCTCACACCTGCAGCTCCAGCACTTGGGAGACTGAGGCAGGAGGACTGAGAGTTCAAGACCTGCCAGGACAACTCAGTGAGTCCTGTCTCAAAAAACAATGAAGAGCACGGGATGTATCTCAGGGGTGAGGCGCTTGCCCCACCGTACTCTGGGGACAGGGAACAGGAGGACAGTGCTGTGGCAAAGTTTTGGTCAATCTCCACTGTCCCCATCTGGAAGAAGCTGCCTGGGACTCTGTTTCTCGATATGTTTGCAACATACATGTTTAACATGCTTTTCCAAGAACACTTGAAATGCTTGTATGTGCGCGCGTGCGCGTTCATGCATGTGCATGTGTTTGTGTGTGTCTGTGTGTGGTGTATACGTGCACTCTCGAATGTGCATTATGTGTGTGTGCATGTGTTTGTGTGTGTGTTCATGCATGCACATGTGTTTGTGTGTGTTCATGTATGTGCGTGGTATGTGTGCTTGTGTGTGTACATGTATGTGTGTGGTATGTGTGCTTGTGTGTGTGCATGTATGTGTGTGTACATGTGCGCATGTGTGTGTGCATGTATGTGTGTGTACATGTGTGCGTGTGTGTGTGTGTGTGTGTGTATGTGTAGTGCCTGAGGTACCCAAAGAGACATCAGATAGCTGGGTGCTAGGAACCAAACTCAGATCCTGAAGACAGCAAGCTCTCTTAATTGCTGAGCCATCTCCGCCTCCCTTGGAGTGCCTTCTACTCCTTTCTAGGAGGTGCTCGACTCTCCAAACTGCCTTGGGAGTGAGTGGCTTCCATCTATCTTGAGGAGTAGGTCCTCAAGTTTATTCTTCCAGACGGGATGGATCCTGTGGAGTCATAGCACACCTGCAGAGGTTTCCCCTGTCCCCTGGCGAACCACAGACATAGGGACTTTCCTTTTGCTGTGTTGATGAACAGGGTGGAGTCATACGTTGCTGCAACTGTCCAGTCTTTAGGGGATAAAAAGATGGAGCATGGACACCTCGCTTTGTCTAGAACAGGAGACAAGGGGATTTTCTGGGATACCACACTCGAAGAAAGGACCAGAAGATGCTGGTATGTGATCCCGGAATGTGAGCTCATGGTTTCGCATGGAGGCCTGCAGAAACCATCTGAGTTGATGTGCTAAAGCTCTCATGGAGTGCTGACTAATGGCTCAGACTTAGTGAGACGACAGCATGCTTTCTAGAGTTTCTGCTTGTCTTTAAACGTTGCTTCTCTGTGATCCAGGCTGACCTCTGATCCTCCTGTCTCCAGCCCCTGAGTGCAGGGATTGTGTGTGCAAGCCACTGCACCTGGCAACTTACTTTATATCTGCAGGAGAGTCAGTCTAACCTCGTTGAATGCTTAGTCATCCCATTACTCAGGAGGCTGAGGCAGGGTTACTGTTGGTTTGGGCTAAGTTCTAAGTTTCAGATATGGGCTATGAGGTAAGACCTTGCACACACACACACACACACACACACACACACACACAGAGAGAGAGAGAGAGAGAGAGAGAGAGAGAGAGAGAGAGAGAGAGAGAGAGAGAAGAAAAACCACAACTTAACCATCTAATTTTGGGAAAATGGAAAGCAAGGCAAAAGCCAGCCTTCACCCTTCACAGTTCTTGTGAAATCCACTCAAAGTGCTTTAGAAGGGAGGCCTGTCACCGACTCATACGGGACTTGTCTGGTGTCTCGGGGCAGTTGTTGGAAGCAGCTGAGCAGTGGCTTCTTCTGGGTCTGGACATTCAGGGAGTGTGTGTGTGGGGGGGTTGTTCCAGAGAACAATGGTTCTTTAGGATCATCCAAGCCAGGAAGCATCTGCCCCACGCGGCACCCACAGCTGTCCCGGATCGATAGCAGCTGCCTCTTTCCTGACGGACGGTTTCCTGCAACTGACTGCCTGCTGCCTGGCCACATCTTCAAAAGCAAAGTGACCTCTAAATATGCCCCTTCTACAAATAGCATAGTGTCTTGGCTGCTTCAAGCAGTCAATTATTACAATTTCCCAATTAATTAATTAATTAATTGCAGTGCTGGAGATGGAACACAGGGCTTCGAGTAGGATAGGTAAACAACAAAAATGCCCCTACTTTAGGTCACCAAATTTTAATAACAGAGACGATCTAAATTTGTTACACAAAGCGAATAAAATGAACAGGGCAAGGTGGCGCAGGCCTGTAACCCCGGCTGTGGAAGGTGGAAGCAGGTGAGTCAGGAGTTCAAGGTCATCCTGGTCTATATAAAACCTTGTCTCAGAACGAAACAAAATGAAACCCCGGCAGTAACTACACCAGAAGAGGAATCCCAGGGACAGAGTGAGTTATATGGAATGAGGCTCTGTTTTTCATTGTGTTATGTCACAAATTCCAGAAGCCTCGGCCACGGGCCGTCTTGTCTCCATTTTACAGGTAAGGAAATAGAGGGTCAGAGAGAACTAATAACCTGTGCAAAGTCCTTTGGACTCAGTGGGTCTCTTACCATCTATTCTAGACCCATTCTCCACAAACCCCTTCTTAGTCTCCAGCAAGAATAATATTGTATACACGCGCGCATGCGCGCACACACATACACACACGCACACACGCCTGTCTGAAAACTCTGAATTACTCACAGCTGCTTTTAGGATGCCAGCTGAGGTCCCCAGTGTCAGCCTTCAGGCCTACCACTCCTGCCTTTGTTGATGGTCTTCCAACCGTATGTTTCTTGATTTTTCTGTAATGCTCCCAAATTGGGACCATATACCTTTCTATTCCATAAGGTTAGAACACTCTTTTTTTTTTCTTTTTGGTTTTTCGAGACAGGGTTTCTCTGTGTAGCTTTGGAGCCTAGAGGCTGTCCTGGAACTAACTCTTGTAGACAAGGCTGGTCTCACAGAGATCCGCCTGCCTCTGCCTCCCCGGTGATGGGATTAAAGACATGCACTGCCACTGCCCGGCTGCCCAGAACACTCTTTCACCAGATCTCTGCATGACCCACTTTCGGGTCAAGGGTCACCTCTGCAGAGGCTGCCTCCCCCTATGCAGTTGGGCTCCCCCGCTTAAGGAAGGCCCTATGGGCAAATCCAGTGGGGCAAGTTGTGGCCAGTTTGTCATGTATGAGAGGAGACAGCCCCTGCTGTGACAACAGCAGGTCATCACTGTGCACCCAGGGTCCCGACACCCCCACGCTCAGTTCTCTGAAAATAACAAACGGGAGCAGTTGACAGCCACAGCTATGGAACCCGACAGCAGTCCAACGGTCACAGAGGGTGACTTGATAACTATGCTTTAATAGGGTGCTAATTTAGAAACATTGGCATGGATGCTTAAGTGACAATGTCGGACACACGTTTATCTCTGCTTCTCATGAGCACACAGGCAGCTAGATTTCAGGGACAAAAGCAGACGTGTTCTTAAAACTGAGGAACGTTTTGTTCAGTGTGCATGTGTTCCTCAGCATGCATGTGTGGCTCAGAGGGCAGTGTGCTGTGGCCAGTTCTTTCTACAGTATGGGTCTCAGTCGCCAGGCACGGCAGCAGGTCCCCTTACTCCCCTCTACCCACTGAGTCTTCTCACTGGCCCCAAGGTGCTCCTTGTCATCCTTGCTTTTATGAAAAAACAAATTAAACAAGTGTCGTGTCCGTTCCTTTCTTGCTAGGTTGAGCTTTATGAGTTTGTTTGTTTGTTTGTTTGTTTGTTTGGCTTTGATTGTTTGTTCTAGATAATTCTTGGTTTACTCTTTAATTGTTTTTATTTTATGGGTGTTTTATCTGCATGCGTGCCATGTGCATGCCTGAGGAAACCAGAAGAGGGCGTCACACCTTCCTGGGACTGGAGTTGCAGCTGCGAGCCACTGTGTGTGCTGGGAATCAAGCCCAGGTCGTCGGGGAGGCAGCCATTGCTCCTAACCTCTGAGTCATCTCACAGGCTCCTATGGCTTTGAGGCAGGACCACACCCAGTGTGGGAGAAACGTATGGCCATCCAAACAACTGGTCACTTTCCAGTTCCTCTATAACTCCCTCTTCACACATCCTCAAGCCTTCCCGTCGTGGGACATCACACTCGTCTCTTCCTCTGCCCACAGGCCCTCTCCCCACCTTCATTGACTAAGTCCTCCCCCTCAGACGGTTTCCATAGCCGCTTGCACACGGGCATCCCTACACAACAGTCAGGAAACACAAGAGACGCGAACAGGCATTTGGAAGGCGGAAGCGGGAAGGGCTTAGGACCATGAAGATGAAGAACAGGGGTGACCTCACTGCAGTGGGGGGGGGGGACGACGAGAACCAGTGTGCAAAGTCTATTCAGCTGGAGGAGACTGATCAGCTAGGGACGTCTGGGAAGTCATCTGTCCCTCTGTGTGTCCATCTGTCATCTATCCATCCATCCATCTGTCTGTCCGTCCATCCATCTGTCCGTCCACCCATCATCTGTCCATCCATCCGTCCGTCTGTCCGTC